AATAATAAAAATAATGAATTGATTTGGTAATTTTCCTGATCAAAGTTCAAAAATAATATTCCGTTCAATAAATTAATAGAACTGTGCCTCTGAAAGAAAAGACGAAAAAAGTATTATTTCGAGCAAAATAAACAATAAAATAGAAATTGAAATTGTCACAGCTGTTGTATACTGAAGTAATTTTCATCTTGAAATATAAAAAGGTATATAAATAAAGATGGTTCAGCCATTATTTCGTATTGATTGTATTTTTTAAAATTTAAGCTTGCCACTAGATTTATATAATAAAACTTTGAAAACAAAACAAACAAAAATGCCGTTAGATAGAAAGCAAACTTTATTATGACCTAATGTACCATAATAATGATATATTCATTCTTGGATATGAAATTATAAAATTTTGTTCGATTCGAGTAAAATTTAAAATTTATCTCCGCCAGAAATGTTAATCTTCTCCGAATTGGAAATATTATAACTGTCAAAATCTGAATTTTGCTTGGATAAAAATTGTGAAAAATTAATTATTTGATCTAATTATTTAGAGAAGTAATTTGACTTGAAAAAATTTGAAATATGTCAAATTTTTGCAAATCACCATTGTAAGCAAGAAAATGTAAACTTAAAGTTATATTAACTTTATCATTTTTTCTCGAAAATTGCTCACTATTGCCTTAATTTTATTAATTAAGTCTTCTTGCCTTTTAATTAATTATCTGTGTTATCTGCTAGGCAAACTGTGATTTCATTCTCATTCAAAACACTTAACCTCTAACATATCTCAATCATATGAGCTCAATTCTACCCTAGAATCTTAAGGTAAGAAATATTATTCAGAACAATGGACTGAATATTTTGTAAAATTCCAATGATCATCTTGCTTATCAGTGGAATTCTGAAAGTAGAATACATAATCATTCGTTTGAAATTTATTTTTAGCTTATCAGCATAATGTTTCATACTGCGGGAGAAAAAAGTACAAGTACATACGTAACATATATGTGCTAAAACAAATTGCGAGACTTTTGAATTTTTTTTTGTGTTTTTTTATTAATTTTAATATTTTGCATAATTCATTTGCATCAATCTATTTATTTTCAGCATCTTTTCTTTTAACTGTTTTTTCATAATGTGTAATTGAAAATATCTGTGGATAGAAATAGATAATATTTTCTGCACTCTTACTTTACTTATTTTGTGCATGCATGCATGGCTATAATATAGAATAATATGAATGAAATATTTCAAACTATTTCATAATCTTCCTGAAAAATCGAAAAGACAATTGAAAGTGAATGGATTAGAAGGAAGAAATGAAGTCAATTTGATGTGCATAATAAGGTGCGAGCGCTATCGCATTATTTATTTTTATACAATAAGTGTAATTAATTTACACTATTGAAAGTAAGTAATTAATGAAATGTGACAGACTTTAAAATATTAAGAGAAGTAGGAGAAAAATTGGAATCCTAAACGAATCGATCTATAATTATCATAACTATATCTGATGCATTTCAGTTCCAAAATCAAAAATTGTGAGGACGATGAGTGAATTTTTGTTTGATTCATTTTATCACGATATAACTTACAGCACCATTCTTTACTTAATTATTGTATTCTTCATTTTTCTAGCATTCATTATATTTGGCATAATAATAACAATGATAATAATTGATAATAGTAACAACAGCAGCAATAATAATAAATAAATAAATAAATAAATTAGTTAGTTAATTAACTAATTAGTTAATTAATTAAACAAGCAAATAAATAAAATAAATAATAACGAAAATGGTAACAACACTATCAATAATATTCATATATTCGTCATATGATATCAGTTGTGATTTGTAATGTTTGATGCATGCATGAATATAAAATATTTCAGTTTTAGGGTCAAAAATGATGGGGACTATTCAGGGAATAAGGAATAATAATGATTCTATCTGCTTGCTTTATTAAAAATATAAATGCTGACCTTAACGAACAGTATTCTATCAAATTATAAAAAATTTGAAGACTTTTTAAGGAAATAATTTATGCTATTTGCATATTATTGCATAAATTTCTCATGTCTCTTTAATTTTATTCAGAGGAAAAAATCAATATTCCATTTTTTGAAATTTTTGCCTTAAAATAAATTCAGAATTTAAATAAAATTATCATACGGTTGAATAAACAACTGCGATGTAAGAAAAGAAAAATGAGAATAAAAATAAAAATAATTGAGTGGAAATAAAGGTTAAGTTGAAAAGATACTTGTGAAATGAGATGAAAATATCCCGTAGGAAAAAGAATTTTTTGTTTCTTCGTTTCACAAAAATTAAAAAATAAAATAATTTCGTTCTCTTTTATTTTGTTTCACATAAGTATTTTCCATCATAAAATACTGTCATTAATCTATTACGTTGATAAGGATTAAAATTACTTTGCTTTGCGTTGTACGTCAATCTTTCATATTGCAATTAATTTAAATTAAAAAAAGAAAAAAACAATATGTTTGATAAGTGTTTCTTAACAGCCTAATTAAGTGTTGTTTTCCTGCTTTTCTACTATAGTTTTAAATCTTTTAAAATATTACTTTGCATTCAATTTTTTTACTGATAAACATTAGTTGTCACAATATTATTAATCTTTTTTTCTCACTTTTTAAAGCAATATTTAATTGAAGCACTCCTTCAAACATCGTTTCATTTTATGCATCTTTTCATCATTTTGTTAGCTTATCATTTTTCTAATTTTGACATTTATTTCTTCACATGTTAATATTATTTAGTACTTTATGCAATGAATTTGTACACTTAAACATTTTTACAATCAATTTCGATAGCTATTATATCATATAGCTTAATTGCAGTATTTAAGATATACTAACGAACTAATGAAGACCAAGATCAATTGTGAAATAAATTCCTTGCTAATCATTTATCAATCAATAATCAGTTAATTTAACAATAATGGGCTGGAATCAAAGATAAAAATTAACTGCGGTATTTTGGCGAAAAGCATTCAAAAATGATAAAATATTGAGGATTTGAAGTTCTTTTTTATCCGATGTAATTAGTAGCCGAATTCAAAGAGTGAAAGAGATCCCAAAAAATTATTATAAAATTTTGCTATACATAGTTGTGACAAAATTTTGCTGTTATATGTGTAATTAGGTATAACAAATTAAAATTCCAAATTGTGATAGAAATTGAGAAACCAAATGGAAATTTTTTCAAATACTTCCTTGGTTTATCTCCACTTTGTGGAAATTCAAATTTAATAAAACATAAATGGACTTCTCTATTAGATTTTGCTGGTTTTTGCCAGCGCGACTTGTACCAGTTAGGCAAATTCTAAATTCAGTATCCTAAGCACATCCCATCCAAACCGATTCTTTCTTAAAAAATGCGTTTCAAAAAACTATTTAAAATGATTTCTTCATCATTAGTAATCTTTTCCTCACTTTTCTTGTAATTTCCTTTAATTAATTTCATTTCTCTAGCCGCACTCGACATGTTAAACCCAGCATGAACTTGAGAAACTTAGAAATGAGAGAATATGTAGAGTTTGATGAAGAAGTCTACCGTTTGGTTCAACAATCAAGTATCAATTATGTTTCATATACAATAAAATTTTACATCAAACAAATAGTTCAAGTCATAAAAAACGAATAAAATAGTGGGGCCTCATTTTTAAATATAAATAAATCAAAATAATATTACGATTCGGATATTATTACTCTATAATGAACTGACGAACATAAATGGGTTAAGAAATCCTTTTTTCTATGCAATTTCATGAGAAAATTTAGGAATTATATGAATGTTAAAAGTTGTTAAAGAACAATGTACTGAGGACACGAGCTCATCATTTACTAAAATATAATAGATGAGTCTTCCGAAATTCAAATTTGCTAATTTAAATAATTATTGCACCAAACTAGAATATAAAATGTTTATTATGAATAATATAATTATAACGATCATATGGAACAAATTAAATTAACAATGTTACCACCTCCATCAAATCGAGAGTTTTGTTTCTTTTCTTTTGTAACTTCACAATGTATTAGATTCCTTAACTCATACAATGGTCCTTTCATATATCTTAATATTTTTTCCATTCATTTTAATGACATTCAGTTAACTTAAAAATTAAAGTTCGTTTCTAGTATTCAATTCAAAAGGGAAACAATGAAAGCAAATAGAATATACTCCGATTTAATCAGATAATATCAATACACCGCAAATGTGCCATGACAGGAACTGCGCTTACTAACTCTTCTTGTACAAAATCTTATCTTTTTATGACCAAAAAATTATATTAAACCAGTAATCTTTTCCCAATATATTATTCTCTTCTTTGTTTATATTCATTTCTTTCTTTAACTATGAAAATGTAAGCCTCCTTCCATTTTTAATCAACATTATCAGTGCAGGAAGCGATAAATGGATGAAAAACATTAACAGTAATAAAACTATAACATGAAATATAAAAACAGAATATGACAATTTGAAAAAACACGGGGGTTCTTTAATATTTGTGTCGGTCCAAAGAAATGACGAAGTAAAGGAGGATACCGTCAAAATTTGGCTCAAATATCTTTTAAAATTGAAACAATATTAAGAAGCGACAATCAAAGTGATGAGCATATTTCTCCGGAAACGTCAGCCAAGCAAGAAACGGTTTTACCAACTAAGGACAATTTTTACTACTGTCCATAGAAACAACTCAGTTTGATATAATGAAATTATCGAAAAGACTATGTGCGTCTCGAGGATATCAATTTGAGACAGGATAAAATACACTTTATGTATTTCAGACAAATTCGCAGATTTTTTGATCGATTAAAACTATGCTATTAGCTAAGAACCGCTGTACTCCTCAATGAACGCTACTAGAATATAAGAAAAGGAAAGAACAAAATTTCTGCCACTATTATAATGTTTACTTTGACATTTTTCAAATCCAATTTCGATTGATTTGAAAAATTAAATATATATACCAATGATTTCTTACACTTTTTTATTGCTATCCACCAGCTGGACAATCATCACACCATCAATTCGTTTACGAAGAAACTTCAACTTGAAAAGCGGTTTTTCGCATGAAACAGCATTCATAAAATGAGATATGTCCTTTTCCGAGCAAATGTTAAAGCTTATACAGATATCATGCATATTTGATAGTAAGCAGGGAATTCCCATAGCTGGATGCATCCTTGTTATTTTGGGCTGAAATTTCAAAAAGATTTCATGACAAAGACCAAAATTAGTCTTAAATGCTGTGTTCTCAATCTCGCTGTAGTGAGATTATTAAATTATCATAGTTGAAGAGGTTCAGGAGTTATTAATTTAATAAATTTCAATAAGTGGTTACCGAATCTGCTGCGTGAGCTAGGAAAAACTTATAACAATTCAAAGCTCTCAATATTTCTAACAGCAAAATCTAACAAAATTACTGACTGGTAGTAACAATTTTAAGCGATGCTTAAAGATGATAATTATATTGCGAAATAATGTAGTTTGTTTAGAGCTACAACATATAAATCGAGGTCTTTCTTCTCGCGATATATTTCTTATCGAATGGCAATGCTTTATTCTGATCCAAAAACAAAGACTATAACGGAACATATTTTGAGTAAAAAAAATTCTTGAAAACTGTGTTAATTTTTACTGAAAAATAATTTATAATGTCGATGAAAACCAAGCAAGGATGAAAGAAAAATGAAAAAAATTGCTAAAATCCAAAATATTGATATTTATACATTACTCACAGACATCACAGTGATATTAATACTAACCAGTTCATTGATAGAGTGAAGATCATTATAGGTAACCCTTTCATAATTACCGTAATCAATATAATGCACTTCCACATCCGTATCATATATTGCTGTAATTACTGCACGAAACATTGCTTGAAATGCATGACAATATGAAACACAAAGCACGCCTAGTTTCTGCAATAATCGAAAATTTGTACAATACGAATTAACAAATGATGTTGGTGAGAAGAAACAGTTAAATAAAACTACGGAAAAGGTTTATTCCTTAAAACCTACTCTTTCAAAAAGTTAAATTCTTTTTTGAAAGATCCTACTCTTAGCGGATAATAGATAGTCAAAAGAAAGTGAATCTCTATGAAATGTTAAAAACCTCAAAATAAATCACATTCGTCATGAATGGAAGATACCGTTGATAATAGATTATGATGACAGACAAAACCGTAAGACAATATTGAGAAATAACAAACGATATTTTTTTTTGGTAACGGTTCAGTAGCTGCCAGGCAATCCAAATATTGATCAATAATATTCAACAGCCTATCGCTTTGAATCTGCACGAAGAACAGTGGCCAATTTTGATTTGATCGATCATCATCGCTTCTTTTTACAGTATAGATTGTCTGTTCCTCCACTTCTATATATGGCACATAGGGCTGCAAAGAGAAAGTAATTACCAAAGCATCACCACAAATATTTTATTACTTTTGTTCATGACACAATAACGCAATAAAACAAGAAAAGTGACTGAACAACTAATTCATAAATATTTGGTTTCTAGTCATAATTTACAATCAGACCATAGAAACTTCGAAAATACGATCAAAAGTGTATGGATCATCATGTAAGCAGCACAAATTCTATTTCAGCAATAATAATCTACTGTAATTTTGAATCATATTACTCCCCTGTTTCATTTCATTTTTTGCTGTCTTTTACTAGTATAATTTACTTTTTTATCTAACTGATGTTACAGTTAAACCAAAAGCCCTGATTTCATACAGATTTCGGGACCGAAATGTTTGCTGGAAAGGTTTCGACGACTTGAGCAAAAGTAAGCTAATAATAATGAATTAGAGCTATATAAACTTTACACTTTCTTACAATAATCAAATGATGACATAATAAAGCAGCAATTATAGTATAACAATAATGTCAATAATTACAACGGTAATATTAAGAATGAGCATTAAGATGCAGCTAAATTTTATAGCACTTTAAGCCATAAATTGGCATTTGATTTCATATTTAATGCTCATTACCTTCATTTTTTCATGATATACTCAGACAAAAAATGGAAAAAAAAACAATAATAACAAAAAAAATTCAGGAAAAAGGAAAATTTATAAAAAAAATTACTCTATATTTTAGGGTCCCGATTAAACGCTCACTGTTGAACACGACCGTTGACAAATTTTCCGTATTAAAATCGGCTATATTTTGATTATCTTCATTCTGAAACTAATACTTTTATAGTAATTGATCACTCCTGTCCGTATACAAAAAGATGATGACCTAGCAAAAGCGAATAATATGTGTAGATATATTTATGCATCAGTCCCTTGAAAAAGCTTCTACGGTAACTGTTAATCTTCATCAATTCGTTAAATAAAACTGTTAATAAAATTTTGCTCAGACGCACTTTACTTTTTGTTCAAATATCCTCTTCAGAATATCTAAAAATAATATTTTATATTTTAGAAAAAAAGGTTGAAAATATGAAAAGATGATCCAAAAAGAATTCAAAAAAAATAACTGTGATGAGCGTATAACTAAAATATTCTGATATATAGACTAACGAACGAATTAGACTAATGAATTTAATTAGGTTCGGTAAGAATTCAAAGAGTTACCTCGTTTCTTACTACTTCCGAAACATCACTAATTGTAGCATTTCTAAAATGCGAGGATTCTGGCATGTATTTCCGTTCTGTTTGTTGCATCAGGTAACCATTTCTATCGAGTGAACGATGTAGATATAATGCTTTCTGAAAAAAGACTGTAACATTAACATCACTAACACTTCAAGAAATCTCGAAGTAACACTTAAAACAAGAATTGCTATATTATGAAATTGGGCATAAAAGAAACAATAGTTCAATTTGATCATTTCTCGCCTAAGCACTCAAATCTGTCAAACATATTATTATCCTTGGGTCTCATTAAATCTTTTCTAATATTTTTGTGGCTAGTATTCAGATCTTTCGACAGTTTAAGACCAAAGATTACTAAAAAATGTCTTAGTAACACCTCCTGATCATCGCAAAGTGAAATAGGTTCTTCTGAATAATATTCATTGTCACCGTCATTTAATCCTCGTTCAACATATTCAACAGCGTATTTCGTACCGGCTAAGCCTAAAAAGACATGTAAACGAGAGTAATTTAAGCAGTCATGCTTTTCTTCCAAAAAATCAATACTTTGTAATTTCAAGAGACAAAAGGATTTTCTATGATTAGTTATTACGCGCTGTTTGATACTATCTTATACTATCCTATTTAATTTTTCAATTTTTGCATTATTAATGGATCTCTTTTCTTTTATATAAATTCAGCTTTTCTTATAATTTTTTCGACTGTCTTAAATCTACTGCTCTTGATCATTCTCTATGCACATAAAACTTTCAGCTCATTAAAAGATTTTTTCATTTGGCCATTTTGGTTGACATGAAAAATCAATAAATAAACCATTTTTAAGTTGATGATATCGTTTGGTTGGTGCATGCTTTTGTATACCGGAGGAAACTCCCAGCGTAATTGCATTGCAACACTCATTCAAAACATGAATCGGTGGTTCGACATATTGCGCTTTATGCAGAAAAGTCCGCCTTGGCTTATATTCTATATAAAATTATAGGGTTACTAAATAGCTACGGTACCATTATTCATGTGAATTTATGTCTTTATAAATTCAAGACGAAAATCAAGAAATCGGTAACGACACAATTTCACATGCTAAGAATTTATGATTCCTAAACAGATTAGTTGATTGAATTTTCGGACAAAAATAATTATTTAATTATCGACGGAAAAATTGTCAAGATTGGACTGAAGGTAGAAAAATAAGAAACAGAAAATGCCAGTCAGCAAAATGGCAGTAGATGGTTCGATCATTGGGTTTTAAACAGATAAAACATCGAGGTTTGTACAACACAACATTGGCTACTGCAATTTGATTTCATTTCAGTTTCTCTTTTACTTTAAAATATTTCTTCATATCAAAATTAGGCGAGATCTAATCTGTTTTTCAACCAATCTTATCAAATGAAACAATGAAGTTATACCTTCTCCTTGTTGAAAATTATTGTTCAAATCTCCATCAGTTATTGCTGGTATTTCTCTATCACTGGGTTGGAAATGGCACATTCCTGTATTGTGCTAAAACAACAAAAACAGTAAAACTCAATAAAACCAAAAAAAAAATTAAGACAATGATAAAGAGAAAAAAAAACTCAAAACCGAAGCTAAAGTTGAAACTGGTGATGATAATCGCGTGCTTTCCGAAACTGTGATCGCTGGTACTGAACCATTATACTTTTCAACAAAATCATCAACATTGGGACGCATGCAACAAGAATTCATTATCTGGCTTGCAGCGGGATCATTCATATTCAACTTTCCTTGTTGACTTAAATATCTGAAGGAAATAAAAATAGCATCTGCCATTATCCGCCATTTTTCAAAGCTTTCTATTTTATTTTTACATTTTCTAAACATCCATAGAAAACCCAAAACTTACTTAATCCGTAATACTAAAAACCCAAAACTTAATCCGCAACATAATATTCTATCAATCTAGAACTACTAATGTTTCTCAATAAAAAGTAATTTGAATTACTCCATGAAAAGAAGCTAACACCGAAGGTAGTTTCTGAACTGCTACTGGATCTAACAATAAATTATTGGAAACGGAGAGTGACGGATTTGCTGTCAGGGCTTTAGCCCAGGTCTGATATGTTAAGAGTGAAGAGCATGGATTCCAACTACCCATATCTGGAATCGGACTGCTGTGAGTCGGCACCGGTAAAGATGTGAGATTTGGAAATGAATTGCAGCTATCCTGAAGTGAGAACACAAAAATGTTTTAAAACGGAAAGTTTTGAAGTACATAGTAGTTATAGTGTAATATCGGAATCACTTGGCAAAAAAGGCAACACACAAAGTCCTCTTGATATTTGTACGGAAGCGAGAAATATAAAGAGGAAGTTGTCATACACCAAAGTCTCGACAACTCTTGATATTTGTTTTTTTGTGGTTAAACCAATCGTTGAAAATCAATCAGACTTTTCTGAAGTTTAAATTCAGGAAGATAAAAAGGAATGAAAGTGTTGAGGTAAATCTAAAATAAATATCCTAATATCATCAAGATCTTATAATTCTCATGAGACGACATGTCAGAAACAAACGCGTTTGACTTAAAAAAGAAATCAGTATAGAAGATAAACTACAAGAAATGGTAGCTTACTGCTGCAAAAGGTGCAAAAGGTATTGACATTGTGTTCAATCTTTTGAGAATAGTAGCAAATTGCAACTGCATAGTTTGCAATGTCCAGTCTTGTTCAAATTTCGATCTAAAACTGCTCACATTAAGCTTTTCAACACTCGCTGAGATATTTTACTTGATATTCATCGGAAAACATAAAAATAATAATTGGTACTGTCAAAGATCGTATAAAGAGACTTTATCCAACAATGAAATGACGGAACTATTTGCTCAATCATCGATGTTTAATATCTAGAATGAAATAAGCAAAACGCTCTTGACCAACTGGCACTGATAACCTTCTTATCAGCTGCCATGCCTTAGACCATTATTATAAAATGTTGATCAAAATATGCCTACTTAGTAAACAAAAAAAAATTGCATAAAAGATATTACTCATTTTACCATTATAGAAATTATGAAGTAGCTCAGCATTAAGAAAGAAATTAAATAGAAATAGGACACTTTTTCATCTCAAGCAATTCTCTTTCAATTTGCAATCGTTCGTTCTTTTCTCGCAACTTTTCTTCTGAAATTTGGATCGACTGTTCAATTGCTGTGGTTATATTGTCATTTTCATCGTCCATGTAATTATAGCAGATATCTTCCGTAGCTGCTGCAGAGCAAGTCTTCTGCATTGTTGAAGTTTTTACTGCTTGCACAACCTTCCCCCAACACACACCATCATCAGCAAATGTTGTTATGCATACAGTGTATTCCTTATCGACTTCCAGCTTAAACAATGCCAAAAATTCTGATATATGCAGTAATATATTTTTCATTGTATAGGATGAAATCTATCACTTAAAATAACCGTAAAAATACTAACATTTTGTAAATTTTTATTTCGTTGTTTTTTGATTCCAAATTTGAATGCTGCTATTGGCATTTTTAATACATTTGATGGCTGAAGCATAAATTTTGTCAGAGTTACCGATAAGTTGAACGTAGGATACTGCCTTATTATAACCTTATATATAGGACTCCGGAAATATATGATAATGGCGGTATCATATGTCTATTCGTTTCAACTTCCTTTTCTTATTTTTCTTTCGATAACTTAGTTTCCCAGAAATTAAATAACAGCTAAACAATGAATAAAATATTTTAAGAAAATTTATTCTATACTACCAAAAATTGCTACCTGCTCACAAAGATCATATATTGCAAACGAATCACAAACAACGTGTTGTTCATAATCGACAAGGAAAACTGAACAAGTCCCATCTTTCATATTGAATTGACTAGCCAAAGCTCTGCAAAAAAAGCTTTATGGATTTGTAATCTTTTCATTTAAAGTTACTGTTGCAATAAATAATGGAGAAGAAATAATGATACTGTGCAAAGATCTATCTGAAAAGATTGGTTAATGAGAGTTAAAGTTTTCACATTATTTGTGAACATGGACTATTTCAAGGAAAATTAAATTAATAATTTTTATGTTGTAAAAACCTCGAAGTAGTGACAACATAGCTTTATATTTTACTAATTACAAATTTCTGAATTTAATAAGATTTTTAGCTATAAAAATCCGAAACTTGCATTCAAGTAAAAAAATGCGTATGAGTATAACATTTCTGATTCCATTCTACAATAGTAATCTTTTTGATCTCAACTATTTCATCTCTTTTACTAACAGTAATAATGCTTCGCTGTTGACAAATGTAATTTAAAAAAAAAAAAAAAACGAAGTTTCTGATGCCCTGTTATGTCTAATAACATCTTAAAAAAGACTATCAAAATACTGCTAATGAATTTAAAAACGAAAGGATAAATCATTAACCTGTAAAGACGACAGCGACTCACTCTGGGCACATTACATGGCCGTACAACGCGAGCAATGCACGCCATTCCAGGAGTACCATTAAGATACAATGATGGCGATAAGCGTTTTATTGGGCGTACCATATACTGTAACAGAAAGAGGTAACTTTTTTTACATTTAACTTTTGAAAATACTACCGAATTGTCTGTCCAGCATATATTCTGATGAAATGTAAGAAGTTGAATAAACCAAAATGTTAGGTTCTTGAGAAGAGAAAAATACACGATAACTCATACTGGACATATTTGAAACATTACCTGTCAGTATGAAAATAAATAAGAGAATTACAAAAAGTGATACCTTCAAATCTAAAAAATTAATCGCATTGCATCTCAGTTACGGGTTTCATTTCTCTCAGAAATTCGTTAATAAACAAGGAAATCTTTTTTTTTCGAAATTTCTTATACAGACTATAAATTCTACTTCGAAAAGAACTTAGTTAACCCGATTAATACACTCTCGTCTTTTTATGTTTCATTAACATACACCAGTTAGTTTTTGTTTTACGTTTTTTAAGAATATCGTAGAATCATATAACAATTGTTTTATCCAGAAAATTTTCAAACTTGAATATGAATAAATTTTTTGAAAAATATCGCAAATAAAAAAAATTAACCCGGTATAAAACCGCTAGTTGATCCGTATTTCTCATTAGATAGACATCATCAGCCAATTTCTCAGTTACACGCGCAGTAAATTTCTGCGTTAATGCGACTTGAAAGGGCGCAAACTTGAAATTCATATTATTTTTGGCTTCTTCCGCAACAAGTGGTGAGGAGACACTTGTCATAGCCATCTGCAACATTTTGCTAGTTTCCAACACCATTTTTATTTCCGATAAACCGTCAGGTGATACACATAAACATTTACCATTTTTCTTGATCACAACTTATAAGCTGTAGAATATGGACAAAATAAGCTTTCATCGATTGCAATTTTATGCACAAAAATAAAGGATATAGTTGAACTAATTAGCTTTGGCTTGTTAATCTCGAAATACTGGAAACATCTGTAATCAGCAATTATGATTTCCACAGTAAGCTCACACTGCAAAGAGGAATCTGCACAGAAATTTTCTCACAGACTCACATACTCCACAATAATGATGCTAAAAAAACAATCATTGTTCCGTTATCATTATGTGGCAACATAAACCATTGCTTATGGTAGGATTGATGAGGGAAAGACACCGCGAATAAGCGAGAAAGCAATCGTGCCAGCCGATCAATAAGTTCACAAGATATGTACAATCTGAACCATTACTAATCTACGTGCAAAATGAAAACTCGTCAATGATGCGGCTCGCAGCATACGTTAAAAAAGCAATGCGCAAAAGTAGTGTCTATTGTGAAAAAGAGGTGTAATTGAGGTAATTTCAGGGGATTGCGTGAATTAAACGCAAGTTATAGTGTGATGTGGACGGGATAAGAACATCACATGCTATAGCATTCACATGACAGACAAAATATTCGTAATTCGAAGTAGCATACACGGAAAACCGAAATAACTTTATAATATAAAATATTTATATTCAAAGAATCTTTGTATTTTAAAATATATGTTATAGAAATCTTTTGTGTCAACTCAGTATCCTCAGTCAAAAAAAGAATATGCTTTATTCATTATCCTAATTTACTGTAATTGATTAACTTCAAATGAGTAACTCTCTTTCTACCATCGGCTTCATCCCAAAGGGAATACATGATCGCCGATTTCACCACACACAATCGGGTCCAAAGGCGACTTTCACCGTCCACCCATTCCACTTCTTACTCATTCCCAATTACTTCAATTATTAATAATTACGAAGAACTCTTCATTTATTAATACCATAAATTATTACATAATATTACCCTCATAGACATTGACTTAATCAGACTTACCAATTCGCATTCAAATTTCGAAACGATTCAATTCAGTCATCAACAATTAAGAAGAAAGGTTCATCTATCGACACGCCATATAACCTTTCCACCAGTCATTAACAAAGAATATACCTCCAGAACAAATATTTTCATCACAGCTCGAAATATTTGAAACTCATCAAAAAAGTGCAAAATAGTAAATGGTA